AGATGTCTTTTTCTTGGTCAATACATTAAAAATCTCCCCTGTACAGTATACTTAGGGAAAAAAAAGAAGTTGAAGTTAGAGCAGCATGCAGGAGGAGTGCTGAAATGAAGAATCCATGAATAGCCTGAACAGAGTTTTCTATTCCTGGAGCTCACAGCTGACTATAGAAAAACTTTTAAAGATTAGAGGAAAGGTTTCTTACTGAAGGAGGAATTTTTTTTATTATTAGTTTGTACATTCCTGGATTAGGCTTTTCAGTTTTTTAAAGATGCCTCCATCATGTTACAACATACATACTCTTTCTACAAAGCCTTAGGTCCAGGAGAGGAATGTGTAAGTATTTGCCTTAATCATAATCTTTCTTAGAAGTCCTTAACTTATTATATACTGATGAGCAGCATTTTGTGAAGTAGGTAAGCAGATATTGATCTTGTTTTTCAGGCCTGAAAGACAAAACCAGAATAAGTGGGAAAAAAAAAATCTTGCCCCAAAACGCTTAAACAGAAAATTATTGAGAAAAAGTGTCATTATGCATTATGAATCTCAGACAGAGAAAAAACTACTTGGAGTGCTCTTTTGACTGAAGTTGACAGTATTCCAGCAGCAGTGAAATGTGCTTGGCAAAGCCAGATCAGCACTAAAACACTGAATTTTACTGGTGGAATTACATTGTCACATTTGAACTGATCCCTGTTGCTTGAAAGCATCAGGATTTTGTTGTGTATTCCACAACATAGATATGTACATGATATAGTTGCTCGGTGGGGAAAATCTGGTTAAACTGAATGTAACTGATTAGAGTACACTTGCAGATATGGAAGTTAAAATTACTTGTGTTGGTGTCTGCCATTTATTTGAGGAGTGAACATAATGGAGTCAAACCTCCAATTTAATCTGTAGTCAGCAGGGTTCTAATCTGTTCAGCAAGACTTCAGAGGATTTTTAGTTGGTTGCCTCAACCATTCTACCTTTCCACATTTGTGGAAACCTTGCTGTACTAGTAAGAGGGTCAGTGCTGATGACTCGCTCTGGCCATGGAAAGTAAGGGTATGATATTACTGTCCCTGTAAACCACAGGTCCTGTGGTGAGGCCTCTCCAGCCACTGACTGCTCTCCGTTCTCGAAAGTCACCACACCGTGGGAAATTGGTGGGAGAGTGTAGCCCAGGGTGTTGAGATCTCATGATTTCTCTGATATTAAGATTAAGATCCTTTCAGGGAACACTTAGTACCACAGAAGACAGAGTACCTTGATCTTTCCTTCACATTAAAGAGCAATTATGTAGCATATGTAGTATGTGCAATTTTCCTGACATACTGATGATTTTTTTAGACAAAATCCACAAAAAAATGCGTATTCTCCATAGTGTGGGAGAACATACTGCTGAGAAGGTCAATCATGATTCATTATATAGACATTGAAACTTCTTTCCATCACATTTTCGGCTTGTGTCTTTTCATATACTCTTAGTTGCCACTTCTCAAGTAAGCAGCTAAATTAGTAGCTGAGCTGTAAATAATAGTAAAACCCCTCTAAAAACAATTTTGCTGTTAAAGTGAAGGCATATTTTAAAGTTTTAGTGATTTTCCAATGTTCCTTCTTTAGTGCTAAGAGAGAACAAGGAATTCCCATCTTCATTCATGTACATGCTTTTGGTAAAAAGCTTAATCCTTCAGTGGTAAATATTAAATGCTTTCTTTGAGTTTCCCAGCACCTTTAAGTCCTTCCATCAACTTCTAGAATTGCACCCACTGCACCTTCTCCAAGCACAGAAGATAAACACAAAAGATTTCATGAAATGAAATGAAATGATTTAACAGGGAGGTTTTCTGGGAAGTATTTGAAGACCCATAGCAATGCACAGCACAATTACGAAATCTATCCAAGTCACCCTCTGAAAGTACAGCACCCTCTTAAAGTATCACAGACGGCTTTGGTTGCCCAGCTATCCTCACCTACAACCAAGCAATGGGTTAGAAGAGAAGAAGAACACAGATGCATTAGCAATCCTCAGAAACCTCTGTTCTCCTTGCTTGGTACCGCAAATGACTTAGATACTGTGTATTGAAACTGATTGCAAAATCCATACCGTGAATCGAAGCTCCTTAAGAGCTTCATGCACATCCTTGCACGGAAGGGTAATTGTCAGTGCTCTGAGCTTCTGTCCTGGAAGTCTAAATTAAGAACAAGCCTCTGGGCTGCTGCTAGGCCTGCAGTAACTTCTCAGACTTTGTCCTCCTTCTGTAACCAGCTGACCTGAGCTGCCCCCAGAATACAAATCCACTGTACCGTGCTGTCAAAACAAATTACTAAATATCAGGCAGCACCACAGAGGAGACAGAAGCCAGGATCTTAACAAAAGTAAAAGGTTGCTCTCTCATGCTTGCTGAGGAATTAAAGTAAACTAAATGCTTTGGTGGGACGGAAACATTCGCCTTTCACCAAATGCTGCCCTGAGACTTGATCCAGAAAGTAATCAGGTCTCCCATGAGGAGACAGAGTGAGATGTGAAGAGACAGAGTGAGATGTAATGAGACTCTGCCCATGTATCTAAGAGGTGCACTCAACACACAGTGCGTGCAGGCCTTAGGAAAAGGACTTGGAGGGAAAAATTTTCTGTTTACATTGTTCATGGCGGAGGCTGGGGACACGTACAAACCGGGGAGGAAATTTATGCAAAGAGTGAGAACTTGCTACCTTGTTTCTCCTGTGATATGGCCTGAAGCATGTTGAGAACCCTAGGTGCTTAATGATTGCAGGGCTGCAGGAGGAGTCTCCATCTGCATCAGTAATGGCACTGGGAGCCACCTTGGGCTCTGGGCACACTTTTTTTGGCTTTCCCTGTGTCACCTGCTGTCACTGCCCAGACCGTGGTGGCAGCAGATGTGGACAGGGCAGCTCTGGTGTCACCAGGTCCCAGGCACCACCACGGTTATGTACCTCCTCCTCCTTGTTGCTCACTGCTCTGTGATGGAGCTGTGTGTGCTGCTGGGGTGATTTGATCCAGTGGTTAAACTGACTTTTTATAAGCACTGTGCCTAGATGCCTTTGGGAGAAGTGGGTGAGAAGATGGGACAGGACACTGAGAATGCTGTTTGAATAATAGAAGAATAGCCTCTGGTTAAATTTGTGCTGATAATCCCTAGGGAGCTAATACTGCTTTCAGTTACATGATTTCTTTTTTTCTTCACCTGGGAGTATCTCCCTCACCTCCCACATACTACTTGCACCATCAATTCCTTAGAACCTTCTCTGCTGCTTTCTTATAGGGATGCATGCTGGATCTGAATCCATTACTGCTTAGTGATCTAGATATTTAAAGCTTACTGGTTAGGTTATACCCCTACATTCTTCTACTTAAAATATTTACAAATGAAAAGTAAGTTAATTTAAAATGCCACTAAGTTAAGCTGATTCTACTTGCTTGAACTAATATCTCTGTATAGTTCATCAGAATTAACCAAAACATGTGGATATGGATGTTTCAGTAGAGAAACAGACAGAATAATAAGGAAATCTCATTTCCATTTTTAAAAGTCCTAATTATCCTGACAATTAAGAGGGAATCAGTTTTCCAGTAAAAAAAAAATGAGGAAATTTCTTTAATCAGAGCACAATACGCAAGGCCTTTTCAGAATAGTCCAAACTAATGCAGACTTGAATGTAAAATGCCTGTACATAATGAAATAATGGTTTTGAAGAGTCCAGGGATGCTGATGCCCTGAAAGGCTGTGATTTCCCCATAACCTACCTGGTAGCTTTTGAACTCCGTGCCTGTTCCAAAAATTGGCAGAGAGACAGAGATCTCAAAGACATATTTCACCTTGATATATTTCTTGAAAACTGGTGGGGCAATAAGGGAAGAAGTCAGCAGTACTGGGAAGGAGGAGGAGAGATTTGTCACATGGTCATGAAAATATAACTCTGTAGGGAACAAATCTACAGGAGTCCTGTTTTTTGTAAAATATGTTTGTTTTCATTTACAATAGACTAGGCAAGAAAACCCTGCCAGAATTACATGTTTTGTTGGTTTGTTATTTTTTTAATGATGATTTGCAATTGACTGTATGCTTCGTCATTATTTTGAGGAGACTTTGTTGTTTTATTTGATTTAGAAGTAAGCTTACTTACTTACCTGTGCAGTTTGGAGGTACTATTCAAGCACTGTTCTTTGCTCCATTGCATCAGTTTTATGCCATGATTTTACTGAAGACTCCATAATATGTGTCATATGATTTTACTGAAGACTCCATAATATGTGTCATATGAAACTGGCATGCCAAATAAAGTATTGGGAGAACAGAAGGCTTTTTTTCCTTGGAGTGGGGAGGCCTGTCATTTTTGTAATGAAACAATTTGGAAACATTCATAAGGTGGCCTCCATGCTGTAAATGGACTTTGGAAAGAGTAGAGGCTGATGATAAATCATGGTAAACCACGGAAATCACTTAATCTATGTGGGGGGCTGGTGAAGGGGAAGAACTGATGGCATCATGTCTTCTAGGGCAGATTATAACATCCCAACCAGATTATAAACCTCCTTCCCCTTTTATGCAGCTTAGAACAGTAGTCTCTTTCTTGTAAATGAGGTCTCCTTCAATGAAGAGTGTTGGGTAAGAGTCTGAATTAAGAACATGTGAGGAGAAACAAAAGAACGAAGCCTGTTTAATTAGAATGAAAGAAACTCCCCCCTCAAATCCTCCAATCCCAATTTAGCAGAGTGTAGGGGTTGTTAAAGCTGAAAGGTCTGACTTGCTGACTTGGGTAAACGCAATGCTCGGCAGATGAAGTCATGCATAATTAATTGTTCTTTGTTGCATTCTTTCCAATATAATTACTTGTAGCATTCAAGCTTATAATAATTGATGTTTTCTGTGTACTGGAGCTTCAGGACAGCCAATTAAGGCAGTGGAGGTGGTAACTGTGCGGCATCTCTGGCATCTGTTTGTTACCAACATGCGTGCTATAACCTTTTTTTTCTTTCCTTTACTTGTTTCTAGTGTCTGAAACAGTACATGCAGCTGGCAATTCAAGAAGGTTGTGGTTCTCCTATCACATGTCCAGACATGGTGTGCTTGAACCATGGGACTCTACAAGAAGCAGAGGTATCCACAACTTTTCTTCCTCTCTCTTCTTTTTTTTTTTTTAACTTAAATCCCCCAAATTATCTGCATAATGAATATGATCATACACTTTTTCATCCCTTTAATTACCATTAATGAGCTTTTGGCAAGAAGCCTGACTGACAAGCAGAGTTAGAAATAAACAGATGTTTTCCAAGTGTTTTGCTCTTCGTTCCCTCCCTCTGTGCCTTGGGGAAAGGTTTACTTGGCACCTGGACAACCTCTGTATTACACATGCAGGTGACTTAACCAGAATACCCTGTATCCCAGAATCGCTGAGCCTCCATTAGCATTGTCAGTTAAGTCATATTTGATTTGACTGCAAACACTGGAATTCTTGCCTCTTTCTTAACTCAAGAACAAGAACTCAAAGTGATGGTACACAAGGCCAGAATTTCTTTGTGTATGTTGATATTGGGCTTCAACAACCAATTTGTAGTCCAATATAAACACACAAGGATCTGTAGTTGTATGGAAAGAAAAGTATCTGCATAGCACTAGGTGGAAGTACGTCTTAAGAGATACGAAAGATGTCTTTGTTCTGAAGGCAGATACGGGAGAGGCTGAGAGCTCAGGAGCTAAATGAGATTTAGGCAGAGCTATTTGCACACCTGGCATGTTCACAATCTCCCAGAGTAACTGGAAGGTTCAGTTTGCAAGTTAAGGCAGAGAAACTGGAGGGAAAATGTGCTCCTCAGACCTTCTTGCAATGCTTGTCACAGTGGGCTTGTAGATGGCTGTCCAATGGCCTCCCAGCAGTTTTCCAGGTGGCTAAGGGATTTTGGCTGGTTTTGTGTGTTCTCTCAGCATTTGGTTGCAGGAATAAAATCAAAGAGAATTAGATCTCCATCCCTGAACTGAAGAAAACCAGTTTGTCTTCTGGGTTCCCTTGAGCCCTGTGTAAACAAATGACATAACTGTGGCAGAAGTATATAATTAGTGACAGTGTGATTCCAGATACCAAAAATGTCTTTTACTCCAGAAAAATTCAGAATTTCCTCTCCAGCATCCATTTCAAACGCTGTGCTTAGCATGGGAGTTGCAACTATGTTTGTTATGGCATGCAGGCATATGGTGGAGCTTTTTTTTGGCTGAATCCAGCTACTGTGGAAAGTAGCCAGCTGTTTCCATTTCCTCCTCTTTCTACACAGACACAGAGAGGGTGTAGCAATGTCCCTCCCATCCATCACACCAGATTGGAGGCATCTAGCCTCTACTGAAATGCATTTTTAAAAGAAAGTTAACAAATGCTAGAAGGAATTCTGCTCTGTTAATCCAGGGTTATGATGCTGTAGGAATTAGGAGAGATATATTTTCCCTTAGTAAAACAGGAGAACACTCCAAGGCATGTATAAATGGACCACTAGCTTAATCCTAGGGTGTTTTTGGGGCTGAAAGCAAAATGACTAAACAATCCAAATGTGCATTAGTGTCCCCTGGATGAATGAATGTTCTGACACTCCCTTTTGGTGATGTGCTTGAAACAGAAGCCTTCTGCCTAAATAGCAAAAAAGTCCCCAACCTGGTTAAAATTATTGCTTATGTATTTTAACAAATACCTATTTATTTGAAGAAGAAAACCACCCAGAAAAAAGTGTGAACAACAGAAAGAAAATATTGACTCCATTAACAATCTGCAAGTATGTAATCTATAGATTATGTATGAGAACTCTCTATTCCTCTTTCTTCTCTATAAAGGCTGTTCCTTGTGAATACGTGGCCTTTTAAAGCTATTATTTAATAACCTATTACCTTATCACATGGTAGAGAATGTGCTTAAATATGGCTATTGTTTGGCATGGAGTACCAGCTAGAATTACAGTTTACTCGTTACACACTCTTGGACTTGTGGTGTGAAAGTATGAGGCTTCTCACGTCTGGAGGGTCTGGATATTTGTTCTTTGGCTTCTGGCAGGACAAGGTTCCTCAGCAGGACAGTGCTGTGAGGAATGACAAGTTACCTGTAGTGGGGAAAAAAAGAAAAGTTCCTTTTTTCGACTCTGTGATAGCATCATTGTTTTGAAAAGGTGTATTTTTCATGTTATGTTCATTTCAGACTATGCTATGACTGCTGTTTATGAGGTACTGTTACAGTTTGGAGAAAAAACAGCAGTTCACACTGTCTTTGTCATGGACATGGTGTTAAATTAGTTCCTATACTTCGGGCTAAATGCTCTTAATTATGTTAGCTAGCGCAGTTATTTTGTTTGCTTTTTGAAGTGCCTTTTGCCCTAGCCTGCACAAGAGAGATAAAGGTCAATTTAGGCGTAATTTGAAGTGAAGGAAAGCCTTTTCATTGACTTTTGTGGTTTTGGATCGAGCTTTCTTCAAGAAGGAAACTGACCAATAATAACAAAGCTTATAAGCATTTATAACACAGTATAGCTATGAAAGTTTCTCTTCTTCCCTCTCTAAAGATCCTTTTTCAAGGTGTGTAACATTTCTTCAGTGCTTTCCAGTGACCTGTTTGTCTTCATCAAGACAAACCAGAATTAAGTCTGGTTTAGCCTCTCAGTAAAACTTTTAAGAGTTTAAATCTAGTTTGGTACTAAATTATTGGAGCTTTTTCACAGGTCTTGCCTTGCTTCTGGTTCATGTTCTTCTTCTGTTGCTTTTGGGGAATAGAGCAGGGCAAAATTCTGGTTAACATTTTAAACAAAGAATAGAATTTCTTTTTGTATATCACATGAAGAAATGAGCAAGTGTAAATAGTAGGAATGTGTCTCTCTAATACAGTTGAATATTTCTTCAGTGTTTGGGGAGTAAACTGCTTATTCATAGAGTATTGGAGATGTTGGGAATTAAGGCTTTACTTTCAGTCTCTGCATCCCTCTGGACCCAAGGAAAAAAAAAAAAAAATTCCAGGTTTTTATTCTTGAAGTGCTGAAAGTGAAAAGTCATTTGAAGTAGAAAATGGTACTTTTCAGTATTTTGAAAATGTGTTCTCTGAAACTCCTCTGGTTTGTTTTTTTTTTCTTTTAACACAATCTAATTGAAACTGGTATATTCCCCAGCTGTCCTTTTGTTTTGACAAATAGTGCATTCAAACAGAAGGAATTGTTCTGCTAGAGTGCTTGAAATCAAGTGCAATCCTAGGTCATATCTTGACCTGCTACATCTAGATAGCAGCTGCTTGTACTATAGCTGTCTTTAAGCAGAAATAAATGAGGGGTAGTCATGGTAAGACAGTGGTTTTGGCTACAGGCTCTGTTTCAAATAGCTGGTTACACACAAAAAAAGAAAGTTTAAAAACAGTCTTGTTAAATAAAATGTTTGTCCTTTCGAGCTCTAATGGTACAATAAACAAAGATGATTTGGATTCCTTCCTGGAAGCAGAAGGTAGAAGGAACGTTTTACGTTAATGCAGTTCTCTTAAATCGTGCAGACTTCTGTCTGGAATATTTCTGTCTCTCTTGGGAACTTGCTCCATTGATTTAATTGGACCAGTTAATACCCCTAATCTAAATAAGGGGTAATTTATCACAGTTTGAAATGGTTTTGCTCGATGTGAGTCCAATCACCAGTGTAAGCTATGAACCAGGATAAGTCTCCACTGCATACAGGGGTTTCTAATGCAGTACTCACTTGGATAATGTCTAGGGGATTACGCTTTGCTCTTTCTGATTTGGATTAAAACTGTTAAGTAGTCAGTAAAGGAGGTACTGATTTGGGCCCTCCTTTTGCCTCTTAAGTTTGTAGAGAATTACCCCTTTGCATGCAGTGCAGATTCTGTTTATTGTCCCTCTGTGTAAATCCAGGATCTACACCAGTGCTAACCTGACAGAGGGTTGTCAGCACTTTGTAAAGTGATGCTGGGGTCACTTTGTACAGTGACCCAAATCTTAGAATTCTTAATTGCATTATATTCCATACATAGCCGAACAAAAATCCCACTGGGAGTCGGTTTAAAATATCAGTTTTATTTTTAATTTGAAAATTGGTTTACATTTTTCTGGGGGAGATTGAAATGGTAAACTGAGAAGGAATGTGAGAAAATGTTGCAGGCTGACCTATCTTTTTCAGAGTCAAAATAAAAATGTTTGATCTTATTTACTCATTTTTAAATAAAATGAAGGAGAGCAAACGAGAACCTTAATTTTGTTTTTATTTGTCACTAAATAAGAGAAGAGCTCCTTAATGGAGAAAATGAATAATTTAGTATTTCTTTATCACTCTAGTGAGCATGGTAGCCGATGAAGAAAGCTGTGGGTGTAATTTCTAACAATAAAGAGATTGAGCTCCCATCCCCCTTTCAAAAGCAAACCACAGCCCCTGTTGAAATTGTTTTACACTGCTTGCAAAACGAGACAGTGCCTCTGTGGGTAGGATTTTGGTAGAGGTGGACAATGCCACCGTTTTCAAACTGCTGTTGCTGCTGCCAGTGCAGGATCTGTCCTTGCTCCCTGTCTGCTCAAGTGAGAGGGAGAAGCACTTGTCCTGGTCAACTTCTCTCCCTTGACATTATCAAGGTTTGATTCATGTGGGTGTGAAAGGAAGTAAGGTCTATTCAGTTTTCTTGATTGCCTCCTTACATCTCCCTTGAAAGCCTGAGAATAGGTGGAGTAGTGATTTTCCCTTTCCACTGTGGTAGCCAGTGTTTAAAAACAGGGGAGTTCTTCCTTGGGTCTTGGTTGCTGCACTGCCTGTAACAGTTTGCGCCTCTGTCAACTGAACAAAATTATTTTGAACCCTTTCATATTTCTTTCTCTGCTCTTTTGTCTTGTGTAGTAACAGCACCCCTGGTTATCATACCATGCTGGGTGATCTTTTTGGATGCTTGGCAAGGGGCCAGCTGGAGCCCTTTGTGGTAGTAAGCCTTCAAAACTTTGCTTTTTTCCATGGATATTTTTACTTTCAGTGAATGCTGCTGTTCTTAGCAAGAGCTCTTGTGTGTTCTTGTGCTCTGTAACAAAGTATTTTAGCTGCAGATGTTGCTTATAGGGTGTAGAAAATCAGAAAACTTATTTCAACTCCTAACAGTCTGATTTAGTCTCAAGATATTTTCAGGAGAGGAGAGTCCTTGTCTCTAATCTTTCACTAAAACCCCCAATATAAAAAAAAAAATCCCCCAAACTTGTCCTGTAGCATTTCTTCCTCCATTTCTGATGTGCTTGTGGTCTTTCTCTTTTGGCCCTTTGCCATCTGCTGGGTTGCTGTTTTGCTGCCTCCCCAGATTTCCATCCCCTGACCAGCCCAGAGACATTTGTGGTTGTGCAGGAGAGAAATGGACACCCAGGTAGGGCTTGAGAAATTGTCTGGAGATGAGCATTTAGACTGATGCCAAGTAGTAGGAGATAAAGACCAAATCCCCTTACCATGCTTATGGCTGTCCTTCTTGATTAAGTGTGAGATTAAAAGTTCACTGAGGAAAGGATTTGCTGGTTTGGTTTGGTTTGGTTTTTTATGGGGACCTGATGCTCATGTTTCTTTCTTTCCTTCTCCCTTTCTTTTTTTTTTCAATTGAATCTGTGTGTACAGCTTTGATGTGGCACTGAATTCATGCAGCAGCAAATAGCACATTCTTTTCCTCGTGCCTAAAGATACTAAATCTATGAGAGATTTCTGCTCAGCATCTCTCAGGTTGATGTCTGTGTGGGAGTTATCAGGACCTGGTCTTTCAAATCGGGGGAAAATTAGTGACAGGCTGCATGTGTTCAATACCAGAGCTGCATGCAGAGAGGGGGAAGCTGAGCTATGAGGAAGGTATGTAGGAAGAGGAGTGGGGCCAGGTGAAACCAGTGGGAAAGGCTGGCATGGTAAGCTCAAATTTTCCATAGGAGAATGGGAAGCCTTCAGCAGTGGCTCTGCTTCCTATTGAAATCTACAATAAAACTCCTACGTCTGCTCCCACTGTAATCAAAAAGGCCGATTTTTAATACATGGGAAATTCTGGGCTTGATAGATCTGCTCTTGAAAAAATTGTTTGTTAAAAGCCAAAGCAAGCACAGAAAGACCCCAGACAACTAAACAATTCACTTGAGTGGCTCTTACAGCATCGAGACTTGCTGTTTTAGTTTAGTCCTAATGAAGGAAAATTTGAAGTAGTTGCCAATGCTCACCCAGCTAGAGAAACGCATATGACTCTTATTGTTTTCCAAACTATTTAGGTTTGAAGCTGCCCTGAGGAGAAGTGGGCAATACTGAAATAATATGTCTTTGCTGAAACTGCCAAACTTCACTCCTTTTACCCTTTCATTTAGTTATTATTTATTTTCCAAGAGTGTTTTAGCTGACTTCTGATGAACAGGTGAAGAGTTTCCCAGGAAACTCTCTGTGTTTACAATCATATTAATGTAATACTGTTTCATATTAAAAACAGTTTACATACTAAATTCAGAAACTGAGTGAGGACAGTACTTTGACTGTGGGCAGATTTACTAGACTAAGAATATACTCTGTAAAGATTTGTTTGTGTTTCATATTTTGTTATTAAATCCTTTGATTTCTCCAACTGTAAGCATCTTTTAAGCATCTTTGAACACTTAAATCCTGACATAATTTGTATTCATTTTTGTATAATACTGGCTTAGGTTAAATAAATGATCCAAGCATCTGCTACAAAATGCAATGTTGTGCAATCAAGTCCAATTGATTCGAGATCTTAATAAAGCAATTTCCTATTTAATAATACAAATGTATTTATTATTTTCTTTTTTTTTAATCTATGAAAAGAAATGTGTTCACAGTATGATATGGAATATATATTGGATTTTTGTCATTATATTTCTTCTCATGAATACTGTATCACACAATCCAGAAGGGGAGCAAGGACCAGTGTCCACTTCACTGAAGGCAAATTTTGCCTTTTGCAGTAATCTGAAGGATTGTGGTGGGTTTCTGGATGAGAGTATCCCACTGAATGAGAGCCCTTGACTTCAAAGTTCCACACTGCCTCACAGTGCTTCAAATGATCAGGTCTTGTATTAGTATCAGTCTGCACTTATTTTCAGTAAAAGAGAAAGATATCTTCAGTGCTGGTACAATATTACAAACGGATCAGACAAAGAGAATGATCCCACATTCTGAATCCAACAAACATGTAGCTCCTGAAGTGTCTATGAAGTTTCTTTTGAATCCCTCCTTACCCTGTGTGCAGGTTTGCTTATTAGTTTTAAATAGGGCACTTGGTTTTCTTACGTAGACTGTTAATTGGAGATTAGACCATTTAGCCTTTCAGGCTGCTAGTTTAATTATGGTAATGTGTAAAATGTATCAGCAAAGCCTGATTGTCAATGCCAGCTAAATATGTTATCTTCAGTCCAGTTCCCAGTAGGCTGATGTGTGTCTAAGTCAAATTCCAACAGCAATGGCATTAGCTGCCTCAGCCCACACCCCATAAAGTGAATGAAAAATGGAAACCAGACTGGCTTTTATGTTCCTGAGAGCTAACTGACCCCTACCATTAAGACTGGGAGACACGAATGAAGAACCATTCATTTGGGCAGTATTCTTGTGCACGAACAACATGCTACAGTCTCCAAGGCTGGCAACATGTCACCCTTTGTTACATTAAACTAACACAAAACTGAAAAGCCTGAAGTAAATACTGAATCCACAAAGAAGGCTTTCCTATGCATGATAAGAAAGATGTGGGCTCATCTACTAGGCAGTGTTGCTGAAATAGGGGAGGTCAAGAACTGCTTTAAGTTTTGGTGAAGGAAGTCAGAGTACAGAGGAAGGTGATGCTGAAAATAAGCAGGAAAAAAAAGGTGGATTTGAGAGCCAGCTCAGGAAAGCAGGTGTGTAGAACATCATGCTTATTAAGTTTTTTAAGTCTGTGTTTCTAATGATTTTTCTGTGTTTGTTTCTCATTTCAGATTGCCTGTTTGGTGCCTGTTGACCAGTTTCAGTTGTACAAGAGGTTGAAGTTTGAACGAGGTGTGAATGTTTTTGTTTCTATTACCTTCCTTTTTACAGTGTCAGTGGAGGTGGCACTGCTACATACTGCAAAGACAAAGCCTGTTGAGTGAGTTGAGGAACAGACAGAGAAGATGTCTTTGTTTTGAAATATTTTCACTAGATCTCACTGTGCTCCAAGACAAATTTGAAATTCTTTGTTTTCCAGAATCAATAAAGTGACATCTTACTGAATTATCAGACTTTTACTCAAGCTTGTGGGCAACACTCTCAGATTGTGAGCCTGAGGCTCCATCGTTCTTCCTATAGCATGCTCATCCTGAGTCCTTGAGGTGGTGGTTGTACTATTAGAACTAGACAAGCTGCTAGAGGCTGGTGCAGGGCAGGGCACACAGTCCTTTTGTACATCCATAAGGATCTTCAGAACTTCTGGGGGAGACATACCCTGAAGTGCAATGTGGATTTTTGCAAGCACCACTGAAAAATAGATTTTATTCTGTAGAAGCCTCATGTGTGTTCATCTAGTATAGTTGTTCTTTTTTTTCCAGAGGAATAATAGGTCCCCTCATTACTGAGTAAAGCCTATTAGTAAAGAAATTTGAAACTGATGGTCTCACTGGGGCCAAGCTTTCCTATTCCCAGAGGTCAGTCTTCTGCATCTGGAGATGGTTCCTTGCCAAGGCTGAAGAAGAAACTTGCTAGTTAGAAAGATGAGATCCCATTCCTGCTTTTAAAGACCGATACTAACTTGAAAGTCTCATTTGGAAGCTGAAGTGTTTTTCAAAGGACTCACTTCATGGTAGTTTGCAGAGTGGTGTGTCTGGGACTGATTTGCCCTAACTCTGCCTGTTTTCAAACTTTCCTTGAAAGACTGTGCTTATATTCTTGCTTTGCATGCATGCTTAGGTGCAGGTGGACTAGGAATGTGTAAGACAGTGCAGGGGTTTATAAAAATTAGGCAAAGTAATGCACTTGAAAAGATGGTCATATAGAAGAACATATAGGTTTTTATAGGATCTAATCTGACATGAGTCAGATGACTTCATGAGCACGAAGTACAAAAACTTCAAAATGGGGCATGCTCAAATATGCCCCAGAAATCATAGGAGAGTGCAGATTTTAGCTATGATTTGCAGGCACTCAGGCCAAAAAAAAAAAAAAAAAATCCCAGTCTTTGCTATCATTTTTTATTCCTCTCTCTTATTATACCACCTTCTCATTTATCTTTAATTCCTTAGCAAGTCCCTCTGGTCCCTAAGCCCATTGGTGGCTTGTCTACAGTCCTAGACAATGGAAATCAGAGCTTGTTAGATTACCCTATTAAAGAGTTAAGGAAGAGAGACATTCTTGCAGTACACTAATCTGTTTTATGTAAAACCTTTTTTAACTGAAGACTCTGAAATGAATGTTTTCTGGTATCTCCTCCTCTATAACTAGCCAAAGCTGAACTCATAATCTTCTGTCCAACTCACTGTTACATCTCTTTTTTTTTACTGTCTCCCACACACAGAAGCCTGAAACTTGTCTATTTTTAAAATCCTCCTTCCCTTTTCTTTCTTGCTTAAGTCTGACAAATTCTCCTCTACCTCTGCTACCTCTCTTCATGATGATTCTAAGATCTGTCCTTACTCCTTTATAGTGAGTAAAACTCGTATCTAAGCAGCAGATTTGGACACAGCTTTTTGCCTTGCTTATTGGCCCCAACAATAAATCCAGCTTACTGATGTCTGGGACCAACGATTCCTGCTAGCTAAAGCTCTGACCTGGGCACCCAGCACTAATACCAGCGCTGGCCAAGACCTTTTGCCTGTCCTGGATTTAGCTTTGTCCCCAAGGCTGACCCCATTTTTGGACTCATCAACTGGACTTGGCTTATTAGCTTCCGCTGGCCTGAAGCTCTGTTCTCAGACCTGAGCCTCACCTGCCAAAGCCTGCTTGCCCTGACCAATGAGAACACTTGTCTGCCAGTCTTCTTCTGAAGCCAGCAATAAACCTTGATGATGGCTCCTGCTGGGGAGAAATTCTGACCTGGAATCTGTGCAGGGACTCCTGGCAGCCTGAGATTTGTTGTGTGTCTTATGTCTGTGTCAGCCCTAGCACAACCTAACCTTTTTCAAACCTAGCCCTCTTCTCCCTTAAAATAGGGAAGTGCTAGGGTGTCCTTCATGACTTTTGTTCTGATCAACACAGCCCTTTAACTTCCTCTACTTAGACCCTTCTTCTCTCAGCTTTATTCAGTTGAAATAGGGACTCTTTGCAGAGTGCACTGACAATATGCTGTTCTCTTGTGGATTTTGTGTTCTTAGAATGCAAATATTCTCAGGCTTTAAAACAAGCTTTCTCACATATCTGTATCTTCTCTGCATCCGGTTAGGGCCAAGCCACAGAGCTTATGCACAGAATATTTTAGTAGAAGAAATAGGAATTGCTCTATGTCTATTAAGGATGGGGCTGATGTCAGCCCCTATCAGAAGTAAAGAAATAGAGAAATAGTATGTGGTTAGGACACATGCATTATGTTTCTGTTTCTGTGACAATTGTCCAATAGGCTGAGTGGTGGATGATGAGAATCTCCATCTTATGCCTGATGGAAATGTAGTCCATTTTAAAAGAAGGTGTTCCTAATATTCTGTGAAATAGAATCATAGACTCATCCTTTAAATGAGTACCTCTCCTGAGATAGAAATTCTTTTCTTCAGGGTGCTGCATTTCCCTTGTCTGCCTCCCACATCTGACCTACCTGCTCACATGTTTTATGAAAACTGGCCCTATCCCTGCCCAGTGCTGGCATTGTTTGGGAAGACTTTCCTCCTGAGAGTGGAGTGCATTGTGGCTGAACTGGCTGTGGGGAAGCAGGGGAAAGTCTTGGAAGAGAAATGACCCTAACCAAAACATGGAGCAACTTGTCAGAGCAGGATGATAGCTTCTTCCATTTTTTTTTGACTGAGTCTTTTTAGATTTTTCTGGTTTCATTTGTACTCCATGATAAACAAAACTGTATGAGACAGCATGGACTGGAAAACACTATCCGTAAGTTCTTTTAAAATGGAGAAAGTGGGAGAGGAGGGAGTTTCATCTCACGAATTACATCTTACTGCAACAAATTGCTAAAAAACAGTGAGATGCAAAACCCAACTCCCTTTCTCACAGAGATGTCAAGACCAGACATCCTGTCTTTTAACCAAAAACAAGATAGGAGAATTTAAGTTTCCAAAGTTAAGTATGTTAAATTGTAGGTCCTGCAGTTAGTTGTTTATCTCATTTTAACTGCTCAATGTCAATAGAAAACATACGGAACCTACTGTGTTCAAGATTAAATTCAATAGTGAGCACTAGGCCATGGCCTTATCCAGTTCAGAGCTTCTTTTAAGACACACTGAAGAAATCAACAGAAATAATGGTTTCTCAGTTAGGACAGTACTTTTAAAAGGTATGTAAAAATGACAAATTACTTGTTTGGTCATGCCTCTCTTCTCCCCACAAAAGAAGCTGTAAGCTAATTCTGGCTTTCATTCAGTGGAAAGCAAAATCTTTGTTTGTTTTTGGAGGCAAAGGAAACATGGGCAAAAGAAAAGGAGGAAATAATGCAACTAGATTCATGAAATGGTTGAAGGTAGGTGGTACAGCTGTTTTGCTGGCACTGCCTAAATTATAGGTAACAATTTTTGACATGGATATAGAAATTCTCCTCATCTGTTGGAGCACTCTGGCACAGACTCAGAAATGACCTGAAGTCATTGAGTACCTGTGTGTCCTGCAGGCAGCAGAGAAGATGATCATCCTTCTGTGGTTCCAGCCAAATTTTCCAGAGAACATGTATCTGAGGCTCTTGTGCAACCTTTTATTTCAGAAGGGACAACATTTTATCTGCTGGAGGTACATTGTAATGGCTTTTGCCATCTCACAGTCAGGGTTTCCACTTGCTTCTGAGACATGCCCTCCACCTAATTATTCGCAGTGGTGGTACCAGAGAACTCCCAGGGAAGGATGAGAGGTGGTTAGCTCCTGCAGGCACAACAGGTCTTTTCTAGGGAGGCTCTGCAGGGTGTGAGTGTTCAGCTGCATCTCACGGACTTGAGCAGCAAGTGAACAACAGTGAACGTGTTTCCGCTGGGTCTTTTGTTACAAGTCCAAATTCCTTGAATAAAGCTGAGGAAGGGAGAGAGAGACTCAATATTTATCATTTGCTGCCATGTGGTGATGATTGTAACTCAGTGCCTCCACCCCAAATCTTGACTATTGTTCTAAGCTCACTACCAGACAAAGAGTGATGACATCATACAGTGAATATTAATTGGAGTTTGCAGATAGAGGGGAGTAAATAGGGCATGGAAAGCAATGGGAAATTAAATTTAATGACAGTCCTTCTGCTGTTTACACAGAGGTTAGTGCATGGCTTGTACATACGAAAGACTCGGAACACCCTAGTGTTACAAAAGGCACGTGCTTGTCATCAAGCAGCACTCAGGTTTGTATTTTGGACCTCCCTCTAAAAAGGCAAAGAATATGCTCTGTGTAGTGTATTTCTATTCTTGTGATGCTTTTAGTGCAGCTGCCTTAGCAGAGTGCAACTGCAGACCTGCCTAAGGAAGAGTAGGCTCAAATCCCTGTGGGCGTGGGTGTGGGTGTGGAGCGCTTTGGCTTCCACACCCGCTTGTAGAATTGGGTCTGGTATGCCTAGGCACATGTTACTGGAATGAAAAGGAGGCTGTATAAACAGTTTTGTTTCTCTCTGTGTTGCCTTTCAGAAGTGCACTTGGACCCCCAGAGAACATGGTGCCCCACGGCCGACTGCCAAACGGTGTGCCACATTGCAGCAAGCGAGCCTAGAGCACCGGTGCCAGTGGAGTGCCCGGCTTGCCACCTGACGTTCTGCTCCTCTTGCAAGGAGGCCTGGCACCTGCAGCACCTGTGCCAGGAAAACCAACCTACTCCAGTCCCAACCGAGCAGGGGTAAGAGGGGAGTCCGTGGAGGCCATCCATTCTTTTGGTTCTTTTTGTCACAGTGCCCCTGCTTAATATTTATAAGATCCCTCCGTGGACAAACCTTAACTCTTACACAGAGTGTAAATTTCATGCGCTGTGAAAAACCTGATTTTAGCTCATTTTGCTTAGGTGCAAAAAACCTATTGACAAGCTTGCATAACTCATTAATCTACAGAAAGAAAGCACTTTTGTGCTTAGATTATGTCATGTCTCTGACCCTCCATCTTTATTTTCAGAATCAGATTTTGTTTAGTTGTGTGTTCAAAGTTTTTGATCATTTTTTGCGTGAACTGAAAGACATAAAATCTAAGCATTCTGCTTGCTGGAGACTTCATTGGATAAGGAGTTGCCAAAAAGCTCTTGCCATGATTTTTCTTCTCCAGGTTTGATTGATGGCTTTGGTGGAGTTTCAGCTGATTTTGTTCAGACAAGGACAGTGCTTTGAGTTGCATAATCCAGTCCTGTTAACTGAATTGTGCAAGCTGCCTGTAACAAAGTCCTAAGTCGTAATGCTACAGGTAGTTAATTTGTGGGTGTAGTGGGGGTTGGTTTTATGTAGCATAAAAGAACAAGGCAATGGAGTTTCACTTTTATGTGATATTAATATCTTACACCTAGTAGTGAGTATATGTCAATGTATGGTACTGAACATAAGAAGCTTCACACATTTGAGTGCATTAAGACAACCCCACTAGATGCTCTGGAAAATAAGCCCAGTATACTTTAGGCAGTGGAATATCAACAGTAATTGCATTTAGATTTCACTGTGATGTTTCCTTGCTCTTCTAGATCCCTTATTGGAACAGAGACAGAGGCACCAATTAAGCAGTGCCCAGTTTGTCGGATCTATATTGAGCGAAACGAGGGCTGTGCTCAGATGATGTGCAAGAACTGCAAGCACACGTTTTGCTGGTACTGTCTACAGAATTTGGATGTAAGTGCTGCAGGAAAAACACCTAGATAAAGAGTAACGGGGTTGGGCTTAGTGTGAGGCCCTGTCCAAGCTCTTCATTAATTCCTTGCTGTCCTAGCAAATATCTTGGCTTCCTTCAGCTTCTGACTCAATTTCTTTCTCATCTTTCACCCAGTGCTTTTATTTGTATCAGTATCCTTTTTTTCCCCCTGAAGGGTTATAGCCTCATCTGTGGGTCCCATGCTAGTTCTTTGAGGGAAATAGGACAGACTGGTTGCTTTCTGGAGGTTCTTTCCAGCAACACCTTGCTCTTATTCCCTCTTCCAGTAGTTAAAACCCATTTGCTTGAGAGTGAGGGAAATAAGTGTCTTCCACCTGCTTGAACAACAAAGGACACAGCCCGTCCAAAAACTGGTATGATACTGGGTGAAGTGGGTTGTTCCGTGGTAGAGTGCTTAAGAGCTCATGGACTGTGTTTGCTGAAGAGACTGGTTGGTTGGGAAGCTTGAGTTTAAAAATGTTGGATTATGAGCCTGGATTGTGAAATGCCTGTTGGTTTCTCAAGGATTGCAAACTAGTCTCAACTCGTGTGGACTTCAAGTTTCCCAGCAGGATTAAGAGTCCCGGAAGTAATGTGCTCGTGTATATGGCAGTTTGCCTTTTTGGCACAGACATCACTAATAACTGGGAGTGTGAAAAGGACTTTACCAAGCACTTGAAACAAAATGTTATGTGCTGCATGGCTTTTCTTGTCCTCTTTTTTGTACTGCAGCTCCTGTTGCAGCCAGCAAACAAGGAGACTTCCTCATTCTTCATCCTTCCTTTACTCGTCATGCTAAACAGGTTTCACTTAGTCTTGTGTCCCATTTCCGTGTGGGTGAGCATGCTTTTTCAACGTGAGTCTTCCAGCTTGCTTCAGAGTACATACAGTACACGGTGATTGCTTAGCACTGTGCAGAAGTGGAAGACTGTCAGATTGTCACAGCTCTGCAGATACACCCTTTTTGAGTTTTTGTCAGTTCGAAGAGAGAAAGAGGAAAAGCAACTGTAGTTGTGGGATTCAAATGTGTTTTTTCTAAATGTGCAGGGTTACAGGAACTCGGGGCACAGATGAAGGCAATAGGTGTAAAGGCAGAGAGTAGGGCTGAAAACTGAAAGGGGAAGCAGCATCATCTTACAGCACAGCTGGCTAAGGGAGGGTAGTGGAGGGTGTGAGTCACCTTCTGAAAAAAATTGGTAATTTAGTAAGTCTTAATGAGAAAAGAGAAGGGAAACAGGATTTTTCTACTTTTTTAAATTTTCCAGTTAAGTCTAGGAAGAAAATGACTATGAAGCGTAAGTAGAGCAGGAGAACAGCAAGCAGAAGCACCTCAGGGAGATGATCCCTCACCTTGCCAGTTTTCAGAGATATTTGATGTTTTCAGGCCCCTTTATTATCATTAACTTACAGACCAGGTTCTTGTGCAATAGGTGCAACTCAGAGCCGTACGCTTCTTAAAAGTGGGGGAGGAAAGATGTTGTCTGACAGCTGAGGTGCCAAACATACACCAATTTTTGAAACTACGAGAAGTTTGTCTAGGTAATGATTTAGAAGACAGGAGAACTTGTCTGCCGGCAGCTGGCAATTTTAAAGCAGTGTCAGGAAGGTTGTGTTTCCAGTCTGGTCTTGAAGCACTCCCTGCAGTACCATAACCTGCTCTTAGAGCTTCTCCTTCTGTTTTTCAGAACGATATCTTCTTACGCCATTACGACAGAGGCCCTTGCAGAAACAAGCTCGGCCACTCGCGGGCTTCAGTGATGTGGAACAGAACTCAGGTGTGTTCCTAGCCAGCTGGGCAGAGCTCTCATGCACACATGAAGCAAAGAGATTTTATCCTTCAGGGAAGGACCAAGAGGATTATTTTTGTTTTTTCATCTATCTTTTTTGTGACCTATGCTATGCTTATGCATGCACACGTGTCCTTTATTTTCCACATTAGCTCAATACCTGTTTTTCACCACCATGTCTTTCAGGTTGTGGGGATCCTGGTTGGACTCGGTATCATAGCACTGGTGACCTCTCCCTTGCTGCTCGTGGCATCTCCATGCATCATCTGCTGCATTTGCAAATCTTGCCGAAGCAAAAAGAAAAACCACAGCCCACCAACAACCTAAAACTCTGTGTCTGTTTGAGTCTGCACCCGTACAGCATATGTATGTGAGAAAGCACATTGGTTGTATTTTGGTGCCACACCTACCAAATAATGCTCCTTTTTGTCTGCCAATTCTTGGGATAAGTGCCTATTCTTTACAGGCTATTCTATCACTAACAAATCGTAGTGTGGGAAAGATCTAGATTATTGTGCAGTATGTATGGTGTGGGCTTTTGCTTCCTGAAAAGGAAACCAGGACACCATTGACTAGTTCATACCATAAATATGAGACACCTTCCAAGACTGCTGGAACTTTCCCATTTTCCATCAGCTGCACGTGACTTGATCCTGCAGTGTTACGCTGCCTTTGCAGACCCAGTCATTACTGTTGTGCTTTCTGTTGGTTCTTGGTGACACTCAGATTTCTCAGAAAGTTCTGGGTCTTTTGCGAAAGAGGGAGAGGGAGAAGCCTGATTGGATTCTTCTGCCTGGTAGCTTGTGTCCTGTTAAAGGTAACAAACCATTAAGAAAAGGGGTTTGGTAGTTTCCTGTCAATTGGCTGTCATGGCATTTCTTTCAGCATTGAAATCAATTTGACTTTTTCTATCGATCTCATTTACAGAAGCAAAAAACCAACAAAACTCTTTCCAGCTAAGACAGGGTTCTCTTCTGAGATGCAGACTACCTTGAGAAAGCTGCTGTTTCTTCCGGTTCCAACACAACATATCTCCCATGAAATATGAGGAGTATGCATATTTCCCTGTCACTGGGCATGCCTTTTGTCAGTAACATGGATGTAGCAAAGTCACCAAGAAGCTAATATTTTAAGAAGGGTCACGATACAGTTCCCATTCAGTGCACAATGTTGGGATCTTGGTTGCGTGAGCATAGAGTGGCCTCATGGGCATGGATATACTGGGTACATATGTACAATGTATTTTCTGGGCAGTCAGTGTATTTTTTTCCGTAGTTTACATGGGGGGTCAGCAAGAACCGTGTTAAAAGTTACTCAGACCAGGCTAAGCCAAGCCCTCCTTTAAAATCTATGGACCTGCTGAAGTGAATACTTGGGAAATGCTGTGTAAATGTGAGCTCCATCCACTGGTGGGTATTTGTTTTGTCCGGCTCAAGGTTAACAAACATTGTTACCAATATTTTTCAGTGACACTAAATCTGGAAGGCTGTCATTTAACAAACCCTTCATTTTAATTTTGTGCTTCATCACCCAACTGATTCAGACCCTGGTATCAGATACACTTGTATAAGTTCACTGAAAGAGCTGGAGTTACTCCAGGCTTGCTCAGGAATAGCCGAGATCAGGCTCTGCTCCCTGGAGTTTATTTCCTTATTGGCTGCTGCTGCTCACAACTGGGGCTGGTGGTGCTTTTGTTCTGCACTCCTGCCTGTGCATTTTATATCTGTGGGAACAGATACGAGTTTGCACTGTGTAACTGGTTGTAACTCCAAACCCCTTTCCTTAAGGGCTGCAAGGTTTAAATGCTCAGCCTGAGTGTTGTGTTGGGCTCCCACTCTGCCAGGCTGCCCTTCTCCAGACACACAGTGCAGGTCACCTGAAGAGTGCTGTGAAGAGTGTCTGAGCTGTTGTGCTTGGCTGAGCCCCAGGAACTTTGCCTTCTTGGCAGCTGGAAATGTGACCTTCTTTTTGTTTCACTCTGCTCTCTGGTTACTGTCACAAAAGTGGTAGGTGTTCTTCTTTTCAGAAGAAAGTGTGGTCTGCTGAGCAGACTAGCAAGGACAAAGGCCTTAAATGATGCTGTCTGTTTTCCTTTTTAATTGATTTCTTTTATAAATGCTGTCTGACTTTGCTACCAGTCCTGACTGGAGGGCAGGCAGTGCTCACCAGTGTGAAAGGCTCTATTTATTCTTCATCCACGGCTTTGAAGGGAAGCACAAAGGTAATCAGTACATTCTAAATAGAGAGTGCAATGCAGACAACTGCCATTTATAATAAATAAAGAATGTTTTCTGTGTGTGTTTTCTTCAAGAGCACTAATGGTAGTGCTTTGGGGTACTTGTGACAGATTATAGAGTGTCCAACCCTTGGCTTTGCACTATTTTTCTACCTATGTTTTTACAGCACTTCTGTCATTTCCATTTGATTGATGGACTTGAAGTTGTGAGTCTTACTTTAATGAAGCCTCAAGGACAAAGATGTAGGAGCTGTACGGTCTCTTTAACCATAACCAGCGTTGCAATGTCCCAATGTCCTCTGCATGTTAAAATCTGTGGGTTTTTCATGTTTTGTGACCTCACCCATGACCAACACACCCTCTGCTAGTCTAGTTTCTTTCCTCATCCTCTCCCTCTTTCCTTTGGCCTGTTTTTGCTAAAATGCCTAATGGGACAAAGGTGTCTGGTATTTTTTTCATTACTACTCTTGTGTTAATGAACCAGTCAAGTTCTTCCCTCTGTTAAAGAAATGCAACTGAAGGCAGCTGTCTTGCCCAGAATCCAGTAATGGACAAGTTTGACCTTTTTTGATTCTTTACGTGTTTTCTAAAGCTAATGCAGATCTCCCCATAGAGTGGGAATTTGTTTAAATGGTTTGAAGAACAGTATTTCATAAAAGCATGGCACACACGCCTAGCTGTAAAGCCTGGGAAAACAACACCATTCAGTTTATTTTAAGTGCTCGATTTAAGTGCATTTAGTTCCCCATCAGAGGCTAATTCCTATGGAGCAGGAGGAAGGTATTCCTTTCCCCTGTGAATGTCTGGTTGCCCGTGCCAGGTCAGGTGCCTGGTGAGGGTACAAAAAGCAGTCGAAATTCAGTATGCAGGAGTTTACACAACCTGGCAACCCAAGCGCCAGTCCAGGCATCTAAGAAATCTGTATGATTGGTAGAAGTGGCACAGACTGTAAATGGAAGTCTTTACACAAAAGCTGGATAAGGAGAGCGTGTACTGCAGGCACACCTTCCTTTGGCTGTGTAAGTGCCGTAAATTGACCTAGAAATAAGTTCTGGAAATACTTTAGAGCTTAAAAACTGAAGTTTTACTACCATTATTTTCTTTAAAAGGCCATGTCCAGTGCCCTATATATCCTAGCTTTTTCACTGAGCGCATGAGGACATCCTAACTGCCGAGTAGAGCAGTACCTGTGCTGAAGCGCTGGGAGCAGTAGAGACTTCTTGCCTTCTTTTCCAGAAGGCAGCTATTTTACACCGGCTGGTCATGCTCACAGAGTTTCCTGAGAATCATTTTAGCAAGAATATTTGTACAGAGTTGGTTTTTGATTTGTGTCATTTGGGATTTTTAATTTTAAAAGAAACATTAAAGTCACTTTGTAGAAGATTTATTGCAAGCATGACAAATAATACTAATAGAAGTTAGGGAGAAAGAAACAAAAACAGGACTCCAACTACTTTTGACTCTTCTAAATCAATGTATCTGTAAATCCACCCTGCTGAACTCCATTTTAGTGATGTGGTTGGTGCATGTCAGTGCCAGGCTTCACTCCCCTTCCCATCTCTCTTCTTCCCCCCATGGCAGGTGACTGACATGAGGGTAGCAGCCAGAGGAGAGCTCAGGGCTGTGGCAGTGCAGGGTACCACACAGGAGCACATCGCCCACCCTGCAATCATCAACAGTTTATCCTGGCACCTTTAACCACTGAGAGAGAACTTGAGGGGGTTTAGGTCATTAATGTGACATTGAGAGCATTCACAGATGTCTCTCTTGGAGAACAGAAGTGGCAAGTACCCCATTCCCTCTGAACTAGGAGCATTCACCCCTTATGAAAATTGGACTTTAGATGCCTAGAGGTCAGTTCCTAAAATTAGAGACCAGTGCTAGAAATCTGGATTTTTACTTCACCCGGCCTCAGATCTCCATGGCCACATATTGCACAGTATTTCTCATCAGTAACAGGGTCTGTGTCAAATACAGCTGAGGATCCCACTCAGCATCCCAAGTCCTTGTGTTAAAATGCGGATGATGATACCTGTTCCCAAACCCATCTATTCCTAAAAATATTTGTCATGCTATAGCATAAACACTTCCCTGTAGTATTTATTCTAGAACTATGGGAGGTGGTCAGTTCAGTAAGTGAGGATTTATTATTGCCACATGGGGTTACCTACCCTAAAGAAGGGCATGAGGGGTAACAGTAATGAATGTTTCTCTTTGCCTAATGGGCATCTTAATGATGCTGAATGCTACGTACAGTAGCATGACATAAAGTCCAAAGATAAGTTTAAAATGTACGTACATTTTACTTGAATGAACTAAGAGAAACTGGATATTAGTTCCATATTTGCTTGGAAATATACAAGTGGACAGAAATCAACTGCATTTCCACAATGGGACAATGAAATCAAGTTTTGGCTGTTCTGTTCTCTGGTATCACAGTGGGTGGTTGTGCTGTAGTGCTCGCTGCTTTAAAAATTTGAAATTTGTTTTGCACTGTAATTTCCTTCTCCCAGTCACTCTTTCTCAAACTAATTCCTTTTATGATCATATTTTTCGTCGTCTATCTCAGGCCAAAGGTTCTTAGAGTGAAGTTAGTAGATTTCTTTGTATGAGGATAAAAACCTTCCAACAATTTTCTCACAGGTTTTAGTAAGAAATTTGATGCTGAGATAACTGAGCAAAGAGAGAAATTTCAGACTTGTCTTGTTTAGAAAAACTCATTCAGGCTTAAAAGTTGTCTTGTAAGACCTAGATAAGAACTGCTTTGTTAGAGCTCATAGGTGATGGAGCCCTACAGCTTTTGAGCTTCACAGGAGAGGTGCTTCTATTGTCAGGCAGACTTCTTTGGAAATGTGATGGGGAAAAAATTAAAAATCTACATCCTATATACATATTTTTATTATATAAATCAAAAGAGCTTCTCTTGTATAGATCCACAGCTTAGGGCTTCAAACTCTCTGGAGGCTTTCTAGGATATACTTGTACAGGAAGATAATTTTAAAAATACACTGAAACAGTCGAACAGAGTGCTCTAGTTATAAACTAACTCTGGTTATAAACTTTCACATATGAGTGTGTGGGATCAGACCCTAACTCATGTGGCTGGCAATAAAGATGTGAAAATTTACCTTTCCTGGAACAGCAAGAGTTTGTTCTTCTGTGGTCTGCTGGAAGATGAACTTACTGCTAAGATTCTGGAAA